AGGTTAAATTGAGGCTGTCTGTTTTGTCACAGTTTATCGCTTTTGAATGCCATGCCTGTGCTGTTACCTACATTTTGTTGACATGACATTGTTTAAACGATCTATTATGAACGAAACTGTAGAGTAATTGGTTAATGAGGTGCAGCGGCGAGTGAAAATCGGCCACCCGAGTTTGATTCGTGGTGATTTCTCACATCAGTGGTGGGGAATATCTTTCCTGATCATGACCTCAACCTATATTACTCTGCACGAACCAGAGCGGTGAAGTATGGTCAAACAACCCCCACTACTGACGGAGGGAAGAGTCTCCCTATGCCATCTCTTCAGCAATGGATTGACATCAGGCTGTTATTTATTTTATGATTTAGTAGATATTTGGTCATGTTGGCAGCTCGTGTCTTTCTTATGCGGATGTACTGTATAGAGAAGTCACATTGCATCGTGCTGACATTTTTTTAAAATCCAAATACTATGCACATTTTCTATTGCATTGGAAAAATCTGACGCTATAGAAGACACTCTGGTCTTTAAAAAAAAAACTCACTGTTACCACCACCAGAAAAGAATACATACTCGAGTTTGTGTTGCATATGTGTGTGCTTGCAAACATTGCCCAATACATTTCGGACTGAATTCTGCCATTGCATGCCCTGTGCACAAAGTGTTTTAACAAGAAATGTCTTGCCTTCCAAAGACTTTCAGACCACGGCGTCACAACAGCATGCATTGTACCGCGACGTTTAAAACGAGGGCCGGTTTCCGAGGCAATTACATTTCTCACGAGTGTAGCCTATTTTCTCTGCGAAGTTTCAAGTGGCGCACAAAACATCTTTGTAGAAGGCCTGGTGGTAGAAACCAAATATGCATTTTAATCTCCCCCTATTTAAACTTTAATGACCGGCTAGCCAATAACAAGGCGAGTATATAGAGTGAATGTACGGTCATATACACACACAATTGTTAATCCTTACGAAATGATGTAATTTGGTAATGATGATGACATTGGTGTATATTTCTGCCTGCCGCTATTTCATGGCATCCATATTCTAGACCAACTCCAGGATTTGTCCTTGCCCTCTTCAAGATCCTATATGGCAACCCATGCCCAACTCTTAGTAACTCAGCTTCTCATCTGCCTTAGTCATCCATGCTGTCGACTACCACCCTGCCTTTGTTTAACTGTTTCAAAAGCCTTTCTCGTCTCTGCCTATGACTACATGGTGTGTAAGCGAGTTTTTTGGCCTCAGCATTACCACCAGGGACTGCACAAAACCCTTTTATATTAATTTTGGTTTTACACTCGACATGGTAAACCTCACGACAGTGTAAGTGTAAATGGTACAATGGTCACTTGAATTAGCTATTTGAAAATGTCCTGGGGGCGAAAAAATATCTGCCATTCTCTGACACGTTGGGGCATTCCGTTCCGTGAAAATTCGCAATGAATCGTTTGTCTCATGAGACGAGAAATGTTAAAATTGAAAAAAAAAGACGAAAGAAAAACGTGCAACCACCATCTTCACTCGCTGCCTTTCTGCCTTACATAACGCCGAAACAGCCTCTCCACTAAATACAGTGCGTAATCCTACGTCGCCCCCCTCGCATTAATTCAGCAAAACTCCCACCTCCAGAACACCCTTCACTCAACGCGCTGTCATCTGTTAGTGAAGCCCCACACCAGACCCTTCACGTTCACTCGCTCACAATACAACCTCGTTAGTCCTTCAGCCACGAAACAGTTACCACCATCAACCCCAAACCCCACCCCCCCACCATCAACCCCAAACCCCACCCCCCCACCATCAACCCCTCACCCCACCACAACCCCAAACCCCACCACACCCCCCCCCCCACCATCAACCCCTCACCACCCCCCCCCCATCAACCCCTCACTCCACCACAACCCCCCACCATCAACCCCTTACCCCAACACCCCCCCCCCCCCCATAAAACCCCTCACCCCACCACACCCCCCCCATCAACCCCTCACCCCATTAACCCCCCCCTCAACTCCTCACCCCACCACACACCCCCCATCAACCCCTCACGCCAACACAACCCCTCCCCACCATCAACCGCTCACCCCACCACACCCCCCCATCAACCCCTCACCACCCCCCCCACCATCAACCCCTCACCACACCCCCCCATCAACCCCTCACCACCCCCCCCACCATCAACCCCTCACCACACCCCCATCAACCCTCACCACACCCCCCCATCAACCCCTCACCACACCCCCCCATCAACCCTCACCCCACCAACCCCCCCCATCAACCCCTCACCACACCCCCCCATCAACCACTCACCCCACCAACCCCCCCCATCAACCCTCACCCCACCAACCCCCCCCATCAACCCTCACCCCACCAACCCCCCCCATCAACCCTCACCCCACCACACCCCCCATCAACCCTCACCCCACCAACCCCCCCCATCAACCCTCACCCCACCACACCCCCCATCAACCCTCACCCCACCAACCCCCCCCATCAACCCCTCACCTCCACACCCCCCCATCAACCCCCCCCCCCCCCCCACATTACCCCCCCCCCCCCACCATTAACCCCCCCCCTCAACCCCTCACCCCATTACCCCCCCCCCCCCCCACAAAAACGACATAAACCCCTCCCTGTCTCCTTGCCCCTGCCCCGGGACACTCCGGCAGGTGGGGGGTGGAGGGTCTCTAGGAGCCCGCACGGGATTGGTGGAATTGCCGGCGTGGCTGAGCCCACCGCCAATGACAGCCCCGCGTTACCCCCCCCGCCCCCCCCCCCCTCTTATCCTGACCCGTGGAATAACGGCACCCCCGGTCCCGGCTTGGGTGTTGCCAGTGGAGGACGAGATGGAGGAGGAAGTTACCTTGGGGGGTGAAAGGGGATGAGTGGTGGTGGTGAGCGATGTGTGTGTGTGGGGGGGGGGGTAGTTGCTGGGGACTTGTACCCGCCGGGGTGAGGGGAGGGGGCAGGGAGGGAGGAGGGGAGGGGGTGATGGACGTGGGTGCACGCGTAATGAGACGTGCGCCGGAGCCGCTGTGCGTCTCTCTTCCACGTGTGCCGTCCAATGTGGAAACGGCACTAGGGGGGTAGGGTGGGGGGGTAAAGATGAAGGCCGGCGACTGCGTGGTTCTCGCCCCGTGCCCCACGTTTGCGGTCTGAACGAGGGCTGCTCGCTAATGACACCATAGTCCCAAGGCTGCACGCGATTTCGCTGTGTTCTGTGTGCTGTGAGCGAACACACACCCACGTTCACTGGACACCATTCACCCAACAGTCTAGTGAGGTGACACGGGATCTGTGTGTGTGTGTGTGCCGCATGTGTGTGCGCGTGGGGAGCGGTGGCGCAGTGGTTAGAGCACTGCGATGCAAACCACGAAATATTTGAACCGGACCGAGGTGTTCCCCTACGTAGACTCAGCCTCAAACGAGTGCCTGGTGCTGTGTGTGTGAGCACTAAGGAGACAAAGGCGGTCGGGCGTGGTGCTGGCCACCCAGTCCCTCGTCTCGTGTACGTTGAACTTCTTTCGCGCCGTACTCATCGGAGGTGCCACGGTGCCTGCCCTTCGTAGGCGATGCTCGCTAACAGCACTTGCCCCGACATTCTGTTAAGGCTACACAGTGGGGGAGGGGGCTTTGTCTTGTGCGAGCACTGTCCCCCACTGCAATGGTCACTGCCCCCCACTGCAATGGTCACTGCCCCCCACTGCAATGAGTACAGCCCACTGCATTTTGCACTGCAATGAGCACCACCTACCACTGCAATGAGCACAGCGCATTGCAGTAAGCATTGTCCACTGCAATGACAACTGCCCACTGCGATTATCACTGCCCACTGCAATAAGCGCTGCCCACTGCGATTATCACTGCCCACTGAGATTATCACTGCCCACTGCGATTATCACTGCCCACTGCAATAACAACTGCCCACTGCGATTATCACTGCCCACTGCGATTATCACTGCCCACTGCAATTATCACTGCCCACTGCAATTATCACTGCCCACTGCAATTATCACTGCCCACTGCGATTATCACTGCCCACTGCGATTATCACTGCCCACTGCGATTATAACTGCCCACTGCGATTATCACTGCCCACTGCGATTATCACTGCCCACTGCGATTATCACTGCCCACTGCGATTATCACTGCCCACTGCGATTATCACTGCCCACTGCAATTATCACTGCCCACTGCGATTATCACTGCCCACTGCGATTATCACTGCCCACTGCGATTATCACTGCCCACTGCAATTATCACTGCCCACTGCAATTATCACTGCCCACTGCAATGAGCGCTGCCCACTGCGATTATCACTGCCCACTGCAATAACAACTGCCCACTGCGATTATCACTGCCCACTGCAATGAGCGCTGCCCACTGCAATGATCACAATGATCCCTGCCCACCACCGCAATGAGCACTGCCCTCTGCAGCAGCAGCATCATCACAGGGTCCGTTGTTTGAGCTCGGGGCGAACCACGCGTATTGTGCGTGCGGTGGTGGTGGTGGGGGGGGGGGTCATCTGAGACAAGCCGTACGCGCACCATCACGGGGTTCCTTTGTTCACACACACGCACACACGCGTCACTCTGTGTGTGTGTGGTGTGTGCAAATACGTCGTGTCGTTAGCAATGAGGGTGTTACTCTTGGTGTGTGTGGTGTGTGGTGGTGGGGGGGAGCTACGTCCGCTGGTCGGCTGAGTTGAATAATTAAGAGCGCGGCGAAAGGCAGCGAGCGCAGCGCCGCAACGAATGCTCGCGACTGCCCCTTGCCTTGTCGGCATTGCGACGGGCAGAGGAAGGGGTCGTGGCTGATTGCAGAGACACCACCCGCAACAGCATCAGCAGCAGCGGCAGCAGCAACATCATCATCGTCGTCGTGGATTAATAATCCTCCTCCTCCTCCGTCGTTCTGTTCAATTTCCTGCGGAGGCGCACGGCTCCACGTCGTTTTTTTCTTTCAGGGAACGCGTGATGGCTGCGGTACGTTTGTTGGTACATGTACATCCCTTGTGTTAATCCACTGCGTGACGGTTCTGTGTGTACATGTGTGTTGGTACATGTTTAGCCCTTGTGTTTATCCACTGCTGGATGGTTCTATGTGTGCGTGTGTTGGTACACGTGCTGCCATTCTGCTAATCCACTGATGCTTCTTTATTTACATGTGCAACCCTCTTGTCAATCCACTGCTTGTTCAATGTGTACATGTTGGATGGTACACGTGCATCGCTTGTGTTTATCCACTGCTGGATGTTTCTATATGTGCGTGTGTTGGTACACGTGCTGCCATTCTGCTAATCCACTGATGCTTCTTTATTTACATGTGCAACCCTCTTGTCAATCCACTGCTTGATGGTTCAATGTGTGCATGTGTGATGGTACACGTGCATCGCTTGTGTTTATCCACTGCTGGATGTTTCTATATGTGCGTGTGTTGGTACACGTGCTGCCATTCTGCTAATCCACTGATGCTTCTTTATTTACATGTGCAACCCTCTTGTCAATCCACTGCTTGATGGTTCAATGTGTGCATGTGTGATGGTACACGTGCATCGCTTGTGTTTATCCACTGCTGGATGTTTCTATATGTGCGTGTGTTGGTACACGTGCTGCCATTCTGCTAATCCACTGATGCTTCTTTATTTACATGTGCAACCCTCTTGTCAATCCACTGCTTGATGGTTCAATGTGTGCATGTGTGATGGTACACGTGCATCGCTTGTGTTTGTCCACTGCTGGATGGTTCTATACGTGTGCGTGTGTGTGTGATGGTTCACATGCAAGCCCTCGTCCATCCACTGCCGGATGTGAATGTGAGTAGCCACCGTGAGTCTAATGCACGTATGTAGAGGGTGTTCTTTTCAAGGGATTACTTTGGCGACGCAGCGTTCGTATGACGGTGGATCGCACAAAGAGAAGTAAAACAAACTCGACACGTCACGTCGCTAACCGCCGTCTCGAAAGGGAACGCGATACATAAATGGCAGGTGACGTTTACGGGAAGCATGCCTTTTTAAATCCTTTATATTAAGTTCGCTTACTTGCTTGCGTGCTTACGACCGTGCAACAATAGTGATGTAGGGGTATCAGGGGAAGGATTCCCACCAATAGGAGGGGGAGTGGGACGGTGACAGGAGAAGGGGGAGAAGCAAGTGAGGAGATACAAGGGAGAGAACGGGCAGGAAGAGGGGTTTGGTTGGCGAAATTGGGACGTCTGGGGACAGCTGTGGATGGGAGAAAAGGAATAAAAGATGAACCCCCTGCAACCTTGTGTCGGCTCTCCTTTACAGTATTTAAAACTGTATTCTATGGGAATCAGGAAGCTAGTGCAGGAAGGCCAAAACGGGTTGAATATGATGTGGTATTCTGGTAAGCAGTCTTTCATCAGCGGAAGACAATGGGTTTTGAGGTTTCACTTGTTTTTTATTTGAGAGGATGTCCATTCGTTTGAACATTTTCCTGCATGACTGCTGCAAAGGTCACATCCTGTAAACGACAGAGAGCGCCTGTGAAGCGTTGGTGGCATCTGCAATTGACGGTGGTCATTCGTACCTGTCAACCCCTCCCTTATTACAGACAAACTCAGACCGTATTGGTCACTCCGTGCCCTTCTAAATCTCAAAGTCCATCCTACAAAGTCCAATCACAAAGGAGAAACACTAACAAATAGACAAGAAAACATTCGTTTGCCCGTATTGAAACGGCTGTATGCCGTATGGACCTGAAAACGAAGTTTTCCTTTACAGGCTTACAGGTAAACCGTATGGGTTTACCTGTAGTTTTGTCTTTCTGATCGGCAAAGCCGGTGGAGGGGTGCCCCTTGTCCTTTGTACCCGCGACTCTGCATTGTCCTGTCAGCTGCTGAAACCATCTCACGTCGAAGTCCCCGTGCGTGCTCATCGGATTCCTCCAGTAGAAATACATATTCTGATGCTGTACTTTGCCTGCCCGAATAATAACATTTGGGTTTGAGAATGTATGAGAAAACATATCTGGCTGGAGAATACATATCTGTCTGGGTAGCCTAGTGGTTCGAGCCTGCCTGCAGCTTGTGATTTAAAAGTTCATCCATTGATGGAAAGTCTTCTCACGGCATGTCTGTCATGGAGGTTGTTTGACGATACTAGTGGGGAGCGGTGGTGCAGCGGTTAGCGCGCTGCGCTATGAAACAAGCGACCCCGGGTTCGACTCCCACTCACGGCTAACACTACCAATAACGAGTATCTGAACCGGTCTTGGGCCTCCCCTAGGTCGACTCAGCCTCAAATGAGGTTCTTGGTACGGTGTGTAAAGAAACATCGCCACTGGGGAGACAAAGGCGGCCGGGGGTGGTGCTGGCCACCCACCCCTCATGTGCCATGCCGGCCTTAATAGGTGCTCGCTAACAGCACTTTGCCCAATAGTCTATTACAGTCTATACTTCACCACACAGGTCAGTATGTAGAGCGTGAAATGGGACAAACTGCTTTAAATAGCTAACCGCCTTTACAGCAATATTAAAAACAAGTTACATATATACTGTATAATATGTATTCATCGGTGACCTTTGGTTAGATTGTGTTAGTAAAATGCTCGTGTGTGTGTGTGTGATCCACCCTCTATTCTCCCCGCCACAGACAAGTGAATTAAGTTGGCACGTGAACAAACATGTGGCAATGTCTTGTTTATTGCTTCAGCGCATCAGTATGTCGGAGAAGATCCCAGATTGTTAAATATTGTTAGATGCTGTTTAACATACCGCGTGCTGAAGCAATAATAAATACATTGGGTATGTTTTGTCACGTGGTACATTTATATGGCTGTTGGGTAGAGGCTTCACGACACACAGGAGATTTTTACTCGCACGACCTGACCCAAACGTCAATTGTGAAAGCCTACGTGTTAAAAAATATAGTTTACAAGTATCCCATTGATAGCTCATTGTCAAACGACAGATAAAACTTGCCAAAAGATATCAAATCTGCATCATCAGCGTACTCCGGGTCTCCAAGTTATGTTGATCCACTGTGATCTGTCGATGTTTTGCTGTCTGTGGCATGCGTGGTTTGAGTGAACACATGACAAAGCTAAATATAGAGCAAAGTGGGTGTCTACATCCTTCTCTTCTTAACCCTGGTTCTCAAGCCTTTCTGAAGTTTCTCCTTGTGTGCAAAAGCCTATTTATACGGCATTACATTATTGTGTATGTGGCGTATGGTGCACAGTACTGTATACGCTATATGGAAACTCCTTTTCACACGTGTGTTAGCCACACGTGGCTTTCATATTTTTTATATTCTAAATATGGCATTGTGAGTTGTTCCTTCTCGTTATTCTATTGCATACCTTGAATTAATGTTATGAACATGTAAGATCATCTTCTGTGGCCTTAGATTTATGGTGCAGTAGTTGACAATGGGTGCCTGTTACACCTTATTGCTCTCCCAGTAGACACTGGGGTTGTCAGCGCAGTTTGTCTGTACCTGTACGCATACATTTTTTCGCTTCACGTGTTATGAGCAGTCAGTTTTAAAGTAGCTGCCTTAAAAATATGATTGTCCTATCGCTGAATTAAAACTCGACTTACGTTACACATCTGTCTGAGTAGCATAGTGGTTAGTCTGCAACTTGCAAGTGGAATGTTGTAAATTAAAATTCCTGTTAATTGTCACATTTCTTTCCTCTGGGATTGTTCAAATGTATCGACCTTCCGCCTGCACAGCTGGGCAGGTCTACACTCGATTAAGAGGACCATCTTTCTATACTCTTTGGTTATTTCGGTAAAGTCACGTAGGTATAAAATAAAATAAATCACGACGTTTCAGGCGCAACACAAGCATCCGTCATCAGGTGGGAAAGCCGAATGATCACACGTATGTTGAAACCAATGTTAGCCTTGTTGTGGTATGGACAATTGAAGTTCATTTTAGAAGGTATGGAATCAACAATTGTTAGTAACAACTGTACTAACAACTGTACATATTACCAGTTTGAACTACAGAATGTGTAAAGGATAAATATAGTAGTCTATCTTTTTACAATATAAGTCACTGTATGATCTCTGCCACTGATCAATCCCCACCAACTTTGGTCCATACACAAAGCTCTTCACCATCCTGGTTCATAGATTTCCCTGCGTGACCACCACACTGATTAATCCCTAACCACAAATCTCTATCTATTTGGAACAAAATTACCAGCATTACGACCACCATTAGGACATTCATCTCTGCCTTTCAAGATCAACCAACGACTATTCCAGCTTTCTCACCACCTTCTTCACTTCTCACATCACAGCCTTGTCCTCGACCCAAATTTCTGCCTTTTTTTCATTTTGGTTTACCATTCAGGTCCCTCTATGGAGACTGCTTTAGCCAAGTCATATTTGCCCATGGTTCCAGCTCCATCATGACATTGGCTGGGCTCGACATATCCACTGCTTTTTGACATCATCAACAAGTACTAAACCCTTAAAAGTGCCTGGAGACTAACTTCTCCATCAATGGCATTGCGCTTATGTGGATGCACCTTCATTAAAATGTGGAAAACATTGTATCAGCAGTCTTCACAACCACTGATGGGGTCGCATAGCGAATCTTTACTTAGTCCTTTGCTTTTTCTCTACTTACATCTTACCTCATTGACTGCCTCATTGACAGTTATGGCATCAAATATCACGTGTGCTGACAATGTTCTACACAGATGTATCTATGGTTCATGGTTCTTCAATTCTGCACAACTGCACAACAGATTTACAATGCTGATTTAGTCTTATGACCTAAATGCATCCAAGTCGGATGCCCTATTTCTGGGCCGCAGACCATCCGAGTCTGCTCATTTCTGATTCTCTCATCCCTGTCAGGCCGTCTCACCGTCAATCCCACTTTATGAATGGACAATTATAATTAAGCCATGTAATAACCATCTTAGCCCCTAACACTTCCAGCCATTCCTGATTCCCACCGTCGCAACTACCGTCGTAGTTTGCAGTATTGTCAGCTCTCGTCTTTACTGCTGTAACACCACTCTTGTGAGGGCGTTAGCCAGAAACTTAAACCTCAGAGACTGACCTGTCATGCGCCGTTCCTAGGTATCTGCCAAGTTCACACAAAGCCATCTTACAAGATCAGATACTTAGACTGGCTCCCCATGAGTCTATGATTGAGTTCAAGATTGCTGTCCTTCGTCATCACGCTGCAATCCATGGCCTTCCACATTATCTGGCCATTCTGCAAAAAACACTGGCTTCAGTCAATCCCCGGACATGAAGGACCTCGTTCCTCAACTTGCTGCCTGTCTTCCAAACCATGACTGTCCTGGCAGAGTGCCGTTTTTCCATGGCTGCTTAAATAATTAGGAATTGCAACCTGCTACACATACGCAGCATAATTTTTAAGAGACGCTTGAAGGCTCATCTGGTGGGATATTTGTGACCGAGATATACAGTATAGTAGTTCAATCAGAGTCTGAGTAATGTTTTACAATTGTGTACTTGAACAATATGCTTTTATCCTGGCAGATTTCATGTTAATACGCCAGTGAAATTTGCGTGTTAATGTGATCTCTCTGTGCGTTTTCTATTCCCTGTTTCACCGAAGATGTCTCAAATTAGGTTACACTGAAGCCGTGGGAATGTGAACACACTTTTCACAAGACGCTATTTTCCTTTGTGCGAGCACAACCTGACACCCCAACTCTGCCGTTACAATGCTGAGCCGTCCGATTCTGTGTCGCAGGTGAGTAACTCAGCGTGTGTCGGTCCATCAGTCAAGGCCACAGGGTCGTTTAAAATCCTGGCATGAAAATAGCACAGTTACCAGTGGTGGACTTTGTCTTGAGGACCATTACAGGAAAACCATCGACCAGATTGTATTACCTTTAGAAAAACTGTAGATTTGTGTTTTTTATTATTTCAACATACAGCGTTTAAAACATTTCAATAGAAATTACAAAATGTTAATCTACCATAATTATATTTCAAAGTTAGCTGATTGGCAGGATGCGTATTGTGTGGTAAACGTGTGGGTAATCCCACCTCTTCCAAGACGTCTGGACATGGAAGAGTAGACCAAACTGCCTCTGGCGAGGCTCTCTGGAGCTCCCTCTCGTGGAAGCCCTTCCACCAGCAGTTGTGTGAGCAAGGACTTGTAGGGCTGCACTTTCACCTTTAACAGGATTCAAACTAGATTCCTTCACGATGAATTGCTGCAACAAATGCACGCGCATACAATAGTGGCATCTGTGTGCCGTGTGGATATCAATCGCAAGTTGTTAATTCAATCATAATTTGGACTATCGGCCTATTGGCCATCTGACAAGAGGGGGATTGCATCGGATGATGCGGATTGAATGGGTATTGCTATCTTGAGTCTGAGCCAGTTTTGCAGCAAACTTAAAGCAGTGTTATTCTAAAGAGCTTACTACTCCTTTCGTGATGGATTGGACTCGTGAGAGTGGGGCATGAGACAAATGTGCGAAATTGTGTGAAACTTAAAAGAGTCTGCGATTGTAATTTCATGGTGAATGCTATTATGCTGCACATGCTACTGAAAATGCAAATTTGTATTAGTCCGTTAAGGTAAAAAAAAAGTTAATCCTACCGTTCAACAATGTGGGACTTACTGTTTTTGAAAAAACATTTGAGAATTCAATAAAAAAAGTTCAATTTAACCACAGTAATGAATACATTGACGGCCATACATTCCAATGTGGTTTATAAGGCGCCACATGACTCGCCAGTGACTGTTGTTGTTACCTTGTTGCCCTGGACATGCTCTTGGCTACCAGGGGGGAGAGAATAAGGGAAAAAGCCAAGAGGACTTGGCTGCCACACGACCCATGGTGGCTCGTATTGCAGCCAACGTGTTAACGTTGTTTCTAATTATTAAATATTCTCTACCTTAATAAACCATTATGTCTGCCACCATTTGGTAATTAAGGTTACGTATCCATAATAGAGGTTTTTTTTGTTAGATCGCGTAAATATAAATGTGTTGTTAAACTTGCCACCACCCGATATAGCCAATTAGTAAGGTTTGCCACGTGAACAAAACATGCCAATTTACTAATTCAGCACAACGGTGTGTTGGAGAGTAAACCCACAACATTTCCAATTGTAAACCCACAAGATTGGTTTACTCTTCGACACAACGGCATGCTGAACTGCTAACGAATTGGCATGTTTTGTTGACGTAACAAACCTTACAAATTGGCTGTGTTGGGTGGTGGCAGGTCTAACATCGCATTTAAATTTACGTGATCTCACCAAAAAACCTCTTATGGATAATACTGATCGCGAAAGCCTACGTGTTAAACTAAAGATGTGTATTTTCAATCTTTTTACGGATATAATTTTCTGGATTAACAACCTGTGATCGTTTGAGCATGTAAAACTACTACAAACGGTGTCACCTATAAAGTGGCGTGAACTCGAGGTTTTAATGCGCAATATATAACTTCTTTATGATTGGTGTAATTTTAATATCATTCATAATTTACTTTACCAGGTTCCCAGGTCTGGTGACTGCTGGGTGCCTCGTCTGCTTTTTCTACGTTACTTTAATCCAGCAATCAAAGTACATCCAGACAGATATCTGGGACAACTACAAGATTGATACAAGACAGTTAGAGGTATGTTTAAGACATATGCTTTCGCTACCAATATCATCCATAATACAAGGGGGTTTTTGTTTGGGATAGATTGCGTAAATATATAAATGTGTCGTTAAATGCACCACCACCCGACACAGCCAATTAATAAGGTTTGTCACGTGTGCATGTAGTTTTACAGATACCAAATAACACTGATGGACGAGATTCCACTTAGCAACTAGAATTGTAGCAGCGCATGTTAATAGCCGCACATCCACTTCACAGCAAACCCTGTTATTTCACACACACTAACACAAGTATAACATCCAACGTGGCACAACACAGTCTTAAGAGATCAACCTTACAATAAGCATGCGAGAGTTGCACTTTACCATTCAGAAGATGAGCAGATATTGGGCGTCGTCATGTAAAAATATATATTCAAATGCATTCAAGTGTGATGGGCATTACACGATCTTCAAGTCATGCACATTTTAAGTGCATGTTATTCGATACAATTGACTGTTATCCTGAATGTGTTTTGCAGGTGTTGCACTCATTCACAAAACGAGTGCTGGATGAGCCCTGCAGGCCAGGCTTTGCCCGTGGTCTCATGACACAGCTTTTCCCGGGGCGCTACCACCCCGAGCTGCTTCCCTTCATCAGCAAGAACCTTTCTGAGATGCAGAGTGAAGAGGCCACAGGCCTGCGCTACGATCCACCCTTTGGATTTCGAGGGCAGCGAGACAGCCTAGAGGCAATCTTGGGCCTGATGCCAGAGACTGGTCTTCCCGTGGTGGGGGCGGAAAAAGGGGATGTGCCCCCTAAAGTGTGCCGTCGCTGCGTGGTGGTTGGGAGCGGTGGAAATCTGCGAGGGACGGGTCTGGGTCCACTTCTCGATAACTTTGACGTCGTGATTCGGTATGATGGTGGTCCCGTTGGTGATCTGTGTGTGAAGGTGCCTCATTTGGATGTCAACAATGTTGACTTTTATATAGGGCTTTTTATGACTCACATGGTGCAATAGACTGATGTTTGCAGAAGGACAATAATGCCATAACCCTTACCAGAATGAATAACATAAATGTTTTACCAGAATGACTAACTAGAACATTAAATTTGTGTTCCAGATTAAACAATGCACCTATAATAAAGTTTGAAAATGACGTTGGAAGCAAAACAACTGTCCGGATCACTTATCCAGAGGGCGCACCAAAGTCGATGGAAGAGTATAAACCAGATTCAATATTTGCTGCTGTGATGTACAAAGGAGTGGACTTCAAGTGGCTTGAGTCCATTATCAAGAAAGAGCACGTGGTAGGTTCTGTGTCATTTGGTAAAAAAAAACATGACGTCACATGTAATTTCATGCCATTTCAGATGTCTCGTTCATACAGAATACAGAAGTATTATTCGCACCCTTATTGAAGCACCACATGTGTGTGCTCATGCGCAAACACACGGTGGTGCTTAAACAATGCCCGCAATGCTTTAAAAAGTTTTATCACCGGCGATTTTTTTCGCCGATAAAGAGGAGTCACGCGAAAATAAATTTTATCTCCAGCTAATCGTGGATAATATAACCACAACAGCCGCAATATAACCACAACCATCACCACAACAGCCGCATAACCACATTCCAACCACAAACATAAGCACATTATAGTCACATTCATAACTCGTAGGTTCTTTCGGTAAAGTCACGTATAAAGAAAAAATAATAAATTAAATAATAGCATACGACGTTTCGATTGCAACACAAGCAATCATCATCAGGTATAAATGAAATAGAAAACAAACCTAGTAAATTTAGAAATATAATGCAATACAACACAGAGAGTCGGCTAACATAACAGTCAACACCCTATTATTTTCTCTTTATACGTGACTTTACCAAAAGAACCAAAGAGTAATTCCTGCAGTCACGAAAGCTCCAAATTAAGTTTTCACATTCATAACCACTACCAAGGCGTGTGTGTGTGCGTGCATGCAACGGAAGCTTGTGCGATTACACATTTCCCCCACCCGGCTGCCCCCAGTTAATCTGGACCATACCACCTAAGCAGAAGGACACGAGATGCAAGCTGCCTGCCAGACAGATCTCATTATTGTTTTTGCATGTTTAAGCAGTAATAAACAATTATAAGGGAATGTTATATATGTTAGATATTTTTGCAGAACGTTTAAACAGTTGTCTGTATGTTGCCCTCCCATGCGCCGTTTGGAAGCTGTAGAGCGGACAGATGGACAGACACTTATGAATTTTATAGATAATGATACCAATTTGTCCCTTAAATTATTGGTGAGCCATCTTCTTGGTTATTTCGGTAAAGTCACGTAGAAGGGAAGTAATAAAATAATAAAAATAAAACATAATAAAATTATTATATTATTTTATTTTATTATGTTTTATTTTTATTATTTTATTACTTCCCTTCTACGTGACTTTACCGAAAGAACCAAGAAGATTAATCCCTGCAGTCACGAAAGCTTTAAATCGAAATTTATTGGTGAGCCCTTGAGTTGCCTTTACTGGATTTACTTGTCAGCTAATAATACATGTCAAAAGGCACTACTTGCCAACCATCTAGGGATTCTATATTCATAAGGTGTGGATAGCATATTTATAGACTCTGGTATATTGCTGTTTATGCCATACTAACTAAAGTGGTTGGCTTCTGTTATGAAGTGCACTTTACGAGCAAGTTACACACATTAATTGAGCAACATTTTACAGGCCACAACAAATCCATTTTCCCTGGCCGTACTTGAACAAGTGGAAGCCAACCACAGATGTTAGATATGCATATCCGCATTTATTCGAAGCTTGATGTTTGTGCGCAGAGCCTCTGGACCAAACTTTGGTTCTGGCAGTCGGTGGCGGACAGAGTTCCCTTGGGACCATCGCAGTTCCGCATCCTAAACCTCGAGATTATTGGTGAGACCTCCATGGATCTACTGGGATATCCAAAACCCAGAAAGAGGATCTGGGGTTGGGACAAGGTAAAATGACCTCTTGTGATCCAGATCGGTCAACTTTTTTTTTGCATTCTTTGACAATTATCATATGCATGTGGAAGAAAAAAAATTAACGCTTAAGTAATATTCTTCAACTAAAGTGTGTAAAATATTTCACCGTGCGTACATTTAAAAGAATGGGCGAGCTTCAGAAATGCACATGCTTTTGTCCACCCAGCAGTATAAATTGACACACCACAACAGATCGTCAAATCGCGTGTGGTGAGATAAGCGTCAGTACTCCCTCTTCGAAGATGTCTGGCCAGTGTGTAAGAGTAGGCCGAAATGCCCAATAGAGTGGCTCTCTTGAGCCCCCTCTAATGGATGCACTTCTGCCAACAGCGGCATGAGCAAGCAATTGAAGGGCTACACCTTTGCATAACTATGCCTCATAATCAACGTTTTTGGGGTTTAGATCGCGTTATTTATAAATGTGTCGTAACCCTCCACCACCCGACACGGCCAATCAGTAAAAAGTGTCACGTTGACAAAAGACAAATAGTTCACTGCTTTAGCCCACCGGTGTGTTGAAGCCTGAAACCACAACATTTACAATTTTTTGAGTACGATGTTTCGCTGGTAATTGCATCCAGCATCATCGGCCAATTCGCCAGAATGGTGAGGCTCTGCTCTGGCTCCTGGTCTTATATATTGGTCGCAAAAGCCTACATGTTAAAATAACTATGCCTATTCAATTTCATACGAAAGATAATAAAAGTTTGCTCTGAAATGTTAAATACCGTGAGAGACATTTTGACGTCACAATTTACTTTACGTAATAAATAAGAACGTTTAAAATTAACCCAAATGTACTTTCTCTTGATTTGATTTTTTTGGTGGCAGAACATCCCAACGCTCGGCGTGTCAGCGGTGGTTTTCGCCACGCACTTATGCGACGAGGTGAGCCTGGCTGGCTTCGGCTATGACCTCAGCCGGCCGGATGCGCCGCTGCATTACTACGAGAACGTGCGCATGGACGCCATGAAGGCACAACCCATGCATAACGTGGACGGAGAGAAGCTCTTCCTTGCCGGCCTTATAAACGCCGGTGTCATCAGCGACTTGACGGGTGGCGTGCAGTGCACTTTCTGCCAAAAGCGAGACAGCGGTGGTGGCAGCAATAGAACATAGTGCTTGCTAGCCGGACACTTGGCGTTGACTTCCGTTTGGCGAGTGCACAGCCAGGCAGAGGGTCTGGCTGCAGAGGAGTGGAACTGAGAGCCTGCTGGATGTTAATATTTCAAATAGAGTTTGTCGAAAACCAACGATGTTCTTTTGCAGAAAGAGAACAGAAAAACGTCCTGCTATAGTCTTCCGTATACATTCATTAAGCACTTTCCAACCCTGATAGTATTTTATTCCTCACTGTATGCTGTCAGAATAGACAGCACCTCATATATTGGTCTTTTGAGCAACATATGAGATGCATGTGTAAATAGATTGAGCAAGACAGATGTACTGCTTTTCATATATTTTGTAATCGTATGAGGTGGAAATCACAACATGTGCTTAAAGTGTACAGAATGCCATACTTGTGTGATTGGGATACAATTGTGTAGGACAATTTCCAAACGACATTCTGTTCATATACTGGATACACAACACTTTATTAACATACATAAACTGATGTATTCAAGTAACCAGATGTTTATTGAAGGATGCCTACCTCTGCATCCATGTAATTGTGATGCGTGACGCCGTGCACATTTAAAAACAAGGCCAGAAAATTATCGGTCTTCCTTCGTGAAGCCCCATGAATAATTTATAGAAATATGCTAAAGGTTACATTTACAATGTCAACAAAGCAGAGTAAGAAATAACCTCCAGATTAATCTGCTTTTGCGATGGGGTTTTTTGAGTTTCAAAATCAAGTACACAACTTACGTGACCACAAACGAAGGGCTTCAGTTATTTGGAGGTGACACTTGGAACACTACAAACCCATGAGTGGAGTTACGTGTATCTGGATACATTCCTGCATATCGTGCATACACATAAACACTGCATTTAATTATGTAATGGAGCACTACATTTTTCCTGTATCGAGTTTACATGTTTCAAACCAGGATTACCAATGATGGGCAAACTAACATGGCACACTTTCTGAAATGAACACTGTTGAAAAATAGATATAGTGTGAGCAGAAAGGTTTAGCAATATAAGAAATAGAAATTTAAAAAATAATACAGAGAAAAGCGTTTGTTTCGCCTACTGACCAATGTCCAACAGCATTTGTTTAAACAGCAAACCCAGTTAAAACTGAAATGGTGTGAACCCTGTGAGTCTATTGAGCGGTGTGCCCTGTTAAATGCTGCTGAATTGCCTGACGTTATAGGCAGTAAGCATTCCACGAACACCTTTGGGCCCGTTTAGCACATTACCGTCCAGCAAAATTGTACAACAATAGGCAACCATCATGGTCATGGCTTAGCATCGTATATTGAAAATAGAATGGAAAAAAAAACATTTCGACTTTGAATAAAATGTCATTTGTATTTAAAATATACATTTGCCAACAAATGTAAAAACAATACATTGCAAACAACGAAATCATAAATTAGTACAATAACATTTCAGTACAATATCAATTCTTAAGCCTTGTAATTGTAATGCATATGCTGCATATGTATTCATACTCTTTATATAGATTGTGTAAATATGAGTATTTATATTCACTGCGCATTCAGATATAGTGTATGCAGTATATTGACAGTATGTGTGAACTCATTATGGTATGATTTTATACTGTATATGTACACTCAAGTATTTAGAGCAGAATGTCATTAGCACTGAAAAATGTAAGTGTTACAATAAATAAGCGATTGTCGATGGCACTGCTTTTGTATACTGTAATGCGGTATTTCAATGTTTATTAATCTCGATTTCTCATGATGACTGGTTATTTACCTGTGTAATTCATTGCTGTACAACACTGTAATAAGGGTTTAAGTTTGTACTAATCATTCACTTGTGTACATGTCTGAATACGATGCATTTCTCCTGAATGTTTATGTTGACAATTAACCTGAGTTAATGCAACGGTTATATGTATTCATTTCAACTCATTCGTGTTTTATTTATTTGCATACAAATTATTTTACGTGAAATACCTGTTCATGGAATTAATGCATTGTTTATATTACAGTACTGTAGAGTGTATACTTTAAGACTGGTAGGTTTTTAATTTGTAATCGAAGGGTATGCAGTATATTGAGTGTATGTTAAATAATGTATTAATTCATGTCATTAAAACCACTGCAGTATTGGTTTGTGCAAATGATCTAATTTATTTCATAATATACTTTGTGTATTTATTATCCTGGAGTTTTGATACAAATCGTTCAAAGGTAAAGGCGTAGCCCTGCAATTTCTTGTTTACACGACTTCCAGTTTAATCGCTATACAAAGTCAAAATGTATCTTCTACGGTCAAGACCAGGGGTCAGTCACCAACATAACAAGAAGAGCAATTTTTTTCGAATTGGGTAAAAAAATAAACTTCATATTTCAAAGAGCCGCAATGCACTGTGGTGGTGAATACGAGACGGTGAGTCCTTCATGAATAACGGTAACGAAGCGGTCACTTAGAGAGGCGAAGGTTGCCGACTCCTGGTCGTGACCATGGTCAATCGTGACACCAGAAACACAACACAGTCGTGGGAAGCGTTCTCCTGAGCCAAGCCACGTGCTCATGTCGCACCCCCCTTCATGAATCCTCCATGCCCCTTCTGGAACCTTCTAAAAAGCTCTCCTCCTTTTCAACAACCCTTGTCCCTTGGTATCTTACTCCACCTCTAATAATCTCATCGTTTTTTTTTCCCACCAAATCGATCTCCAAGGCCTCGGCCAAATCCCACGCTTCATCCCCACTGGCTGTCCCCCTAGCCGTCGTTAATTAAGGTGTCCTTTTGTAACCCGTTCCCACCATGGCTAGCTCTTCTTGGCAGTGATCTTTGTTGAGCGCATGGGGGTGGTTCACTTGAAATAAAATAAAAATTTGCTCGTAAACTTGCGTCGTCTTCTCTACTGCTAACATGTGTCTCTTGCCACCCCTGCAGCACACAAACTTGTTCTCTCGGGGGCCACACAGGAAATTTCCAACAGCCGATGTAGAACTTCAACCAGCCGATGTAGAACTTCAACCAGGACGCCTTTAATTGCGCATCCAAAGGGCTCCCAACAGCACCAGCAATTCCGTCAAAGCCTGCAACGTGACTTTTCCTGTCACGATTCGACCTTGACAGAAACTCTCGCTTCTCCCTTCACTGCCTCTGTTCTTTCTCGATCGCTTCCTAGATTCTGGAGCGGTTAAGCCACGTGGCCTCTGAGAACACATGGCCGGGAAGGTCCCAGAGCCCAGAGAGCTACCAAACACTCACTGCAGTATTTGAATTGGCCAACCATACCGAGGACCCTCCTGATTAAAATATAGAGACTAAAATATAGAGATTATTTTCAAATGTACCTAACTTTTTCTGGTACCCCTTGCACTCATATCTGCACTTTTTTATTCGCATGTGTGTTGTTTGCGACCATTAAATATACTGATACAGCTGTCGGGCTGTGACGGTTCCACCTGAAGACGGAAGCTTGTGTTGCTTCCGAAACGTCGTGATTTTTATTTTATTTAACTTTTATTAATTTTAATGTTTTACCTACGTGACTTTACCGAAAAAACCTAAGAATATTAAATGCCTGCTTTGTTAGTTGTGCAATATACCCTGAGAACCCTGTACTTGTTCTGTGCAATATTTAAGTTTTTTGTGTTTTTCTGCTCTTGCTGTGATAATGCAGTGCGGGTCTCCCTTTGTAAAATAGCTGGGAAACTCGCTAAACGGGGTCATCCGTCTAAACAAATATAATAAACTCAAAGCCCTGATAAATATGTCCAGTGAGGCTTTTTCCCCACAGGGTAAAATGTATTCCATTTGAAAGTGTGATATATCACACTTTAAGGCAGTATCGCCTTTCTCTGTTGTGATGAGTTGTGTTCGGGGCCGTCCATAAATGACGTCACGCACCTAGGGGGGGGGGTCAGACATTTGTGACGATGTGTGACGAGGGGGGGGGGTGAGAAATGTGATGTCACACCAAAATGCGCAACTTTTAATAAATATAGACAACACGTTCTACTTAGTTAAATAGACTTTTTGATAACTGTTTTCTCCTACAACATCAGAGTGCAGCGCCACATTAACTACGCACTACAATGACAATAGTTTAAAGCGATTTGAAGCATGTTCTTTTTTTTTGGGGGGGGGGGCAGAGCTTTATGACGTCATATTTGAGAGGGGGGGGGGTCTGACTTTTTGTGACGCCGTGTGACGAGGGGGGGGGGAGTCAAAAATCGTCCAAAATCGCTTGACGTCATTTATGGACGGCCTCTTCAGTTACTTGCTCATCCATTGATAAATAACTGCTATCTTACACCGTTCTTAATACTGGTCGGTGAAAGCCTCTCCGTCTTATCACTAAAAATCGCTGGGTATCGCCATTGTCAAAACTATATGTGCATTACTGATTTGTAAAAGAAAAGCAAGCGGAGAGACGGGCCACATTAAACAGTCGATAGCCGTAAAGGATACACCTTGCACCGATATTCTTTTAAATATTATACAACACGGTCCATTGATGGATACCCTACTGCTTTCCATGACCCTCTTGCTCAAACGGCTCTTTTCCATCCCTGCTTATTGAAATATCTTTAGGAAAAAAATGACAACGTTGAGGTCTGCTCGACACGAAAGGGCTTCAAGAGAGAGTTCCTTGTAGTTTTGATATTCTTCAGCTGAGGAAGTGCAGTCTACAATCCTTTTACCACGTGGTTCATAGTTTGGGGTTGCATAGTCACAGTCGCACTGTGGCTTGTCTTAAGTGTTCCATTCATGAAGGAGATGTTGCACATCCGCCTGTTGATGTTCCGATGCAGGTTGATGGTCAAACCGGCGTCTTCAATGAGGAATTTCAAACCCAGGAGGTGCTTTGGGTGGGTATCAGATTCAGTGTTTATTCTGGTGTTTCAATATTATGAAAGCGATGGCTCCACATTTGACAGAACGAGTTACTGTAAACGTGTATTGTTAATTCGTCTGAGACATAGAGACTTAGAGGCTTATAAGGAAATAGATTTTTCTCTATACAGGCACATGTACAATCCTGTAATTTCCCACTGTTATCTTAGTGGGGTATTGAGCCAGAGGGCCGCCGTCCACGCGGACGTCTGAAGAAGCGATGGATGGATCGAATAAAGGAAGACATGAAGACGGTCAACGCATCCCCTGAAGATGCCCTGGACCGAGCCAAATGGAGAAGACAATGCCGAAAAGTGGACCCTGCGCCACAGCGGGAACAACGCTAGGAAGAAGAAGATCTTAGTGGGGTATCTATAGACGGATCATCCTGAACTTGCTGTATAGAGCGCAAGTGCCCTCTGCTGAACCAAATGCAAAGTGGCTCAAACTGCATAGAGCCATGAACACGAATACATTGTCTTAAAGAGAGGGTCATTGTCAATAACATCTGGCAGTTCACCATCATTGGTTCAAGCCAGCCGAACTCTTCTGGTGAGACAGTGTGTCGAAACTGGAGTTTGCTTGCATTCGATACATTTTCCTGAAATTATCCACTCCCAGAAGGTCTTATGGTTGACAGGAAGTGAAAACAAGACTTTTGCTTTTTTATGTGGAGAGACAGGGAAATTAGGGAGAATATATAACCGATTGGGAAGTATTGTCTGCTTATTTATGTTCTAAATAATGAAAGTAGGGCTGGCCAGGCTGCTGCCCAGATGCCATCTAAGCCAAATCAGACTTTGACAATTCAAACACATTCCTGCGGAGGGAGCTGGTAGGAACGTTGGGTTGCTCGGTCAATGGCCAGGGTCAACAGCGGCGTGGTGTATTCCGCAAATATGCCCGACTGTGAGGGCGGGCACAAGCCGGCGTGAGTAGGTTAAACGTTGAGTTTTATAAGGGCACCACGGGGTGACCACCCACTCCCCACCCAGCCCCACCCCTCCCACCCCCCACCTACCCCCACCCTCCCCACCCAGCCCCTCCCCACCCTCCCCACAAAGCCCCTCCCCACCCTCCCCACCCAGCCCCTTCCCATATAGGGTACATTCTAAAAGGCTGTTGGTTTGCGCAGTGGTTCGTATGTGCTAGACCAGGGGTCGGCATCCAAAATAACAAGAAGAGCCATTTCTTTCCAATTCGTACAAAATTCAGTATTTCAAGAGCCGCAATGCATCTGAGTACATACTGTACTCACGTACATATCGTCAAGAAGCAGCCCGTAAAGAGCCGCATGCGGCTCCGGAGCCGTAGGTTGCCGACTCCTGTGCTAGACTATCACTCACCGTCAGCATCACTTTCAGCATCTTCAGTTTGAAATGTCACTTTACAGCGGTGGTTCGTAATATTTACTGCAGCCTTGCACCCCGTTACTTCTCAATCGTTAAAACGTGTATAATGTTAATAAATACACAGAGGGTTCATGAAACAGAGTAGTTGCACTTTAGAGCAAACCGCACCACAGCGCCGTGTGTAATCCATCACGAGTCGGGAGGGGTAAGAGACCTGGTACAGAACCCGTACAACCACATTCGCCACCAGATGGCCTATGTGCTCCACACTCAACAGGACCAAGGAGCAATTGTACTGGTAGGAAGCCACTGGTTCCACCAGCCCACAGGGGATTAATGTGTCCGTCCGTCGTGCAGGGAGGGGGTGGGTGGGGAGGGGAAGGTGGGGAGGGGTTGGGTGGGGAGGGTGGGGCTGGGAGGGGAGGGGAAGGTGGGGAGGGGCTGGGTGGGGAGGGTGGGGAGGGGCTAGGTGGGGAGGGTGGGGCTGGCTGGGTGGGGAGGGGAGGGTGGGGAGGGGAGGGGCTGGGTGGGGAGGGGCTGGGTGGGGAGAGTGGGGCTGGGTGGGGGGTGGGAGGGGTGGGGCTGGGTGGGGAGGGGCTGGTCACCCCGTGGTGCCCTTATAAAACTCAACGTTTAACCTACTCACGCCGGCTTGTGCCCGCCCTCACAGTCGGGCATATTTGCGGAATACACCACGCCGCCGTTGACTCTGGCCATTGACCGAGCAACCCAACGTTCCTACCAGCTCCCTCCACAGGAATGTGTTTTTACGCCACAATTATTTTCTTATAAATCAATTGTGCTTATAATTTTCACTGCAGCTTTGCACCCCTTGGGTTCTCAATCGTAAAACAAAATGTATAATGCCAATAAATGCATAAGTCTGATGAAACAAAGTAGTTG